ATACATGCTCTATGAACTCTTTTATCTCGCATTTTCATTTTACAGATTGTAGTTTACATACACCTTACGAATAATCATATCAAATATTACAAGCTGGACCTATGCGTAGCTTGTTGAAAATTCTTCGTTCTCCATACATAATCTCTGCGCAATAAGTTTTATATTCCATGAAATTATCACTGCAATGAATGTTTTTTAATTTTATTTTAATACTTTATATTTTTCCATGTGTACAGTGAATGTTTGATCAGTTATACAACACCTAATAGCATCATTCAACATATTTTGTGGCTCATATTCAACACCACACAAAATTAATTATTTCTAACCTATTTTCACCAAGCAACATTTAATTGGTCATCAGCGATAACTGTTAGACAAACCTTATTGTTGCCCTGGTAGTTAAATTCGAATAACTACGACTTCTTGCAAAAGGCTGGTTTGACGTTTTTGTAGTTTTTCCCATAAGTAACGTGAATACGAAACAGTTTCTCTTAGAAAGTCCTCTAAGAGTTAATCCTTTTCATCAGACAAATAAACTTCCCATGCATTGCTATGATTTAATAACCAAGTCAACAAAGTTAATGCGGCCTCTTAATCTCCCTATTCGAGGTTTTTTTTTTTTTTTTTTTTTTTTTTTTTTTTTTTTTTTAATTAAACGTCCGGATACTTTTTCCTCAAGAAGTTGTCGGAAATAGATCGGTCATTTAGCTGTCTCATCTGTAACAGCGTTACCCAAAGTATACCATAGGTATACTCTGATACTGAGTTACACCTGCAAGAAAATACGAAAAGGCACACAAAAATTCAAGCCTTATGCGGGAATCGAACCTGCATCCTGTAGTTCGGACTAGTAGTCAGCCTATACCGCTGCACAGGCAGTGTAACGTCGGCATTCAAGTTGAAGCAATACATTCAGTGGAAGCTCAAAGTCCAGTATAAAATTTTAAATACTCATTATTAGTCGATGCACTAGAGATGATTCTGCACCGCAATACGCCATATATGAACATAAAGTATTAAAAACATGTTTTATAAATTATAATAATGGTACCAAATATTCATGAAAATCTTCAGTTACTATTTTATGTAATAAATTATTTGAATTGTATGCATTATGATTTTTTTCAAGTAGAGACACTAAAAATAAAATATAAATGTAATAAGAAGTACGTATATTGCTTTTTAGTTTATCAGTTTGTTAAGCAATTAGTGATTTTATTTTCAAAACCATTTAATGATTTTATGCCATGTCACGGAATGGCAAAACCTGCGCTGCCGCATGCCGCTTCATGACTGAATTAAGCCATCGTGCACGCCGTTTTCACCATATTTCAGACTACAAGTTCTAGTCCTTAATTATTAAGCAATTTAAATTAAAATCACTTAGCAAACAATAAAAGTACCTTTATAAAAAATGAAACACCTTTTTAATTTCACATATATCAGTTTAGTTACGCAGATAAAGATACTAATAAAAACCGTGCCATTTTAGCTTTGGTTTTTTTTCGTTTATAACCACAATTTTAACTCTCATGTACAGAAATTGGTTTCCGAAAGTTAGACAAAAATTAGAATTATTTGCAAAATTAATGCAGTGCTTAATATTTTCTCAGATATGTAACCAGCAAAGTAATGCCATGTCAGCTTAATCGTATGAAAATTAAACCAGGCTCCATCAGTTTGAGCAACTGGATAATAGCATAAAAGTCCTTTGTTAATGGATTACTCTTGCGTGCTCGAAGTGTAAATATAAAAATTACTAACAGCCAGTTTTTAAGAATGACCTTATAACACGCACTGCGATGAAGTACTGAACATATGCTACAACCAGTCAAACGTTACACGATGGATGAATGTGAGTCCTTCTAGAATTCATGGACTGTGAAATAAATTATTATTTACGAAATTCTCGCCTCGAAGGTTCATTCAAGGAGTTACAACAGAAATGAGAAGTATGTATTTTTATGAAGACAAAATTTTCATTCTGTAGAAGGCTGCATGAAGGACGTTTCTAAGCTAAGTGACCCCAAATTTGCGTACATGAGAAAATGGCATCACATGAGAAAAAGCTGAATTGCGCACACAAACATGTGAACTAGAGTGAAACCCAACAGCATTTCGTCTTTAATAGACGGATACCAATTTCTTTCAGTGCGACTACAGGCATTGTTCGAGGTGGAGAGTGCCAGGTACCGACTGTTACGGCACAGACTACGGGTGTGATATTTTTAGACTGACGTCCAAAACTGCGAGACAAGTGAGAACTTTGAAATATAACTACCGAAAATGCGAGACGATATCAAGAGACTGTCTTCATGCAGAAACTACAAATGGTACATGATACAAGAGGATGAAGCTCGACAACACCAAGCTGTATTAGAGAAACAGTACCTTATAAAACAATACTTACACAATGTACATACGTACATTGTACACATGGATCATCCACCTTACTATATGGCTTATACCTTACTGAATATATGTGGAATGCGTATTAATATCTTCAACCAGTTATCCCGTAGACGATGCCTGAAAGGAACACTGTTTGACACTCATTATTAAACTACATTAAAAACAGTATGAAACATCAGGTCGGTCCTCCTTACTGTATTTAATAACTGTACTTCATATCAATATAACTCGTATATTAAGATCTTGCATCTCATTTGTGAACCAATAACTGGAGTGCTAATCTTTATTCAAAAAGATAATTAGAAGAATACATAATCCTCTAAAGAAATATAATCATGTAAAGAAGATAATCCTGTAAAGGCAGAACGAAGATAAAGAAGATAATTATGTAAAGAAGATAGCCAAAAATGGACAAACGAGGTAATCCTGTAAAACACGATTTCACGAAAATACTTAATAGCTTGTTGTTTATGATAATTTTTGTTTAATTTACACAAACTATTTCCTAATTTTAAGCACATGTATAACATAGTTCCAACTTATGAACATTTGATCAACTCAATAATAACAAGAGTGTGCCAAAGCAATGAAAATTATACCAATATACTTCATGTTAATCCTAAGTTAAATGTAGAATATAAATGAAGGAGGAAATTTTTAGTTATATTTAAATATACATAAAATATATCGCAGGTAATGAAAATATAATAATGAACTGCTACTTTAGGCAGCATTTTATATCGAAACGAACTAGAAATATGTAAACTGTATTTTCGAATATTGTGAGAAGTTATTCAAGAATTTTATTACTTTCATCTTAAAACTAACTTTCAAATGCATTTCATTTAACATGTCTACATTATGATCTTGATCATCCATTAATACATTATGTCGACATAAGGCAACATTAAAAACACTTTGATAGAAAAGACAAACATATGTATTTTAAATTATAAATGAAACAAAATTTGTAGGAAATTTTCCATATGACGTAAAATGTGCGATGTTAAAACGTAACTATTAATAAATTAGTATTTACGCAATGAATGCTTCATAATTAAATGGATGACGTTATTTTTGGAAAATGTGAATCGTTGAAATAATTTTTTGTAATTGATGATGGTTTAGCTTTCGAACATTCTTCAGAATTTGTGGGAAGTTTTATATACTTCATAATTTTTAATTCCTTAATTAATAGAAAAGATTATGTGTTAAGTGAGTATGAAAAACGTTTGCATAAGCTTGACCTTCTTCGTGTTACATAATTTAAGTGATCGTAATTGTTTGTCACACCCTGTAATTTGAAAAGGCCGTTGCAAGCTTTAATACGCTAATATATTGATTTCAAATGTACATCCCTAAATCAGTGTTTTAGCATACATATCGGTCATAAACTTCTTGTATTCTCTAAAATAGTTATATAAGAAAGTAGCTACTGTTTCATCAGATGTTATAAATAGTAATCGCTTTTGTCTACATGAATAACAAATGACTACTACCGCCATAATGAAACTGAGGAGATGCACTGAGTGTTCGCAAAAGGTTGCTCCGTGCTTATTTCCTAAAATACTGATCTTAAATATACACTTCCAGTTTACCCGTTTCTGAAACTAACGTATAGAATTTTACGATAAAATTTCAACCACATTGGTGGAAAAGATGTGCAAGTATAAAATCAAACACTTTGCATGACCTTCCTGTCGCCCTAGATGGTATAGTAGTTGCTAGTCCAAACTCCAAGGTACGTGTTCGAACTCCGCGTTAATGCTTGATTTCTTGTGTTTGTTCTCTCTGTCTTCTCACACGTGTTATATCGGTCTAATCCCTATGATAACGTTTTCAGAGTTGAGACGGCTAAATGATATATGGATTCAGTTCTTCCCGCCATATGTTTGAGAAGCAAGTGTTCGAGTATTTAAAAACATTTATGATCTTTCTAGAGCAAAAACATCTGCTCAGTGAAATATTATTTATATTTTAGTAAGTTAAATTAAAAAGGTGACGTGAAAAATTCATGCAGCTAGTTAGGAATAAATTTATTGAATGAATCATTTTTCAAAACCTACTAGCGATTCAAATTTAAGACTTTTCCCAATTTAGGAAATAACTACTACAAAGCAAATATTGCTGGTTTCGGCGATTGAGGATTTTGCACAGAGTAAAATAACGCTCGTTATTAAATTTGTAGCTAGCCTCATGAAAATTTCAATTACGCATATCTCTGAGAATTTCGAGCATATACTTATGAAATTTCTATAGTTAGTTTAATAAAAGTCTAATGAATACTTAATTAACTGACCTGTTTGCTCTGATCATAAATATACACATATATATCTAAAATGATATATTTTGTATCTGCGGAATACCTACGCTATTTAAACTGTTAATCATAAAATACTGTACCTTATTCTAAGTAACTTTTTAACTCGAAATACATACCTAAGACCAATATTTAAGGAAATAAAGCCTGTACTTAACTTATTTATGTGTTTGTTTAATCGAAAATCACATAACTAACTGCTTTTAGTCATAGGTTTCTGTGCACTGTCTAGTTACATGTAGAAAGATGTGATGCAAGTACTTACAGTCAGCATAATCTGGGACAAGAAACCTAACAAAACGTCGATTTGCATTGCCCCAGCTTGGATTTTGAACATTATTGCAGTATCCGCTAAAAGCTCTGTATTTCCTTGGTTGGCATGGAAAATCCACTTCTAGAGGACAAGCAGTATTTAGAAGCGTTCCTCTGATATCAGCTGTAGGCAAGCTATATGCTACTTGCTCCTTGCTTAGTTTATACCTAAAATTTAATTAAAAATACTATATTAAGCTCACAAATATGTGTTTTAAAATAAAGTACATATAATTTCACTTAAAATGTATGAAAGTTTACAAGTGAAATATCCAGAACAACTTTCAGTTATCTAAAGTTTAACTCTCAAGGGTTTACAAAATATAATTTAAAGCGATGCGCCTCCTTATATGCGAGTATAATCTAAGTTAAATCTACGTTAGGAAAATTAGTCTAATAATTACTCTGGTACACCTTTCTGTATAGGGATAATAATACACTGGTATACGGCTTGAAGAGCTTAAAACCACACTCTGCAATTTTAGGAACATGTTCTATATTACTACTATTAAAACTATTTAGGCTGCAGTGGCTACTTATTTCAGTTAAGGCGTATGCCATGAAAAAACTTCAGCTGCTGTTCTAGCATAGCATAATAAATGTTCAAGGGAGTTGAAGGCCCAAAGCAATATGGCGAACTTATTGTCAATGTGTCTTAAACCCCTTAGTAGTTATTGAGCCACAGGAAGAAATACGTTGCTCTGTTGAAAGATGACCCTATAATTCAGGCAGATTGCCTAGAAGCAAATGTTGAGATAGCCGGTTAGCAGGTACCAGTAGTAAACATCAGTTATTGTTTGTAGTAGGACAGCCGATAGACACATATCTCTCCAGATCAGAGTACTACCAGAGATTTTGAACTGTGAAATCTAGGGAAGAGGGGGGGAAAGAAACTGGAAAACAAAAACTGAAAGACAAATGATAAACCAAAAAACTTGTCAAGCGAGGAAGAATACATATATAGCATTCATAGACGCATATTCAAAACAAAACAAAACAAAACAAAACAAAAAAAAAAAAAAAAAAAGGATTACTAAATAAACTAAGATCTTCACCATTGGACAGACGACTCACAGAAATCACTGTAGTGTCGCGACTCAAAGAGATTTTCGAGTAAAGAAATTCTTCATTTGGAGGCAAGGATAACATAATATGAAATTAACCTCCAGTTTTCTGAGAATTTTAATTACACAGCTGACTACAACATACATTCTCTGCTTCTAAAAGCTGTGTTTTGGATCTAGTCAAATACTAAAGGCGAGAATCAATCTTGGGAACTTATTTTACAAAATAGCGTTTTTAAGAAAATATGTGATTATCTCGGAGTTGAAGTGCTGTTTGATGGAATAAGTCACAGATGAATGCATAAAACTGAGTAGTCCGTACTAAATATTATATCAAAAAAACGTATCGTATGCTAAGATAATTAATGACAAAGTGAGTAGATACTCGTGTTTTGAACAATTAGAAACGTACACCCCTCAAAAAAGCTACAGAATGCTGTTTGAAGTGTTAAAATTTATTAAAACAATTGCTCGAATTAACGAAATTTGTTAGCATCCCTTTTTAACAGATTTTTGGGACTTCGGACTTCGTTTGGATTAAATGAGATTTCGTCTTAATGATATTTCGCTGCAATTTAATTTGAAATATTAGTTACATTTGTAAATACTGATTGATATTCACAAACTTATATTAAAATATTTAGATAAAATGTATTCTATAAATTGACATGTTTCTACAATATATGCTGTTACTTATCATTACATTATAATTTCATAAATCCGAAAATTCGGAATCATAAGTAAAGATAAAAATTTACATTTGTGAACTGTATGAAAAGAAATGAATGAGTATTTACTGAAAACATTCTTCTCGATTTGAGTTAACTTGACTCCTTGTGCGCTGACCCAAATCACCAAAGCTTCAATGTCAAGAGTGAGAACAATGATCCCTTGGTGCCCTTGGTATGTTGCTTTAAAAATACTAACAATGAAGTGAAAGTTAGAAGATGTTATCAGTGGCCTGAATTCAATCTGGAATAAAACCTACTAAGTAATTATTCAGCTTATTTGGAAGCATTTGTAACTTTTATTTTTCCTTACATCTTTTTTTTTATTTTTCATTGATAAAATGCATTTGCTTCTGGCACCAAATCAGAGACTATGTACACCACTAATTATGACACTGAATCAAATTAATTCACCCGTTATATTCTCATTAATGCTTCGAATTTTAATCATAATTTCAAATGCATTATTTTATCCTCTACACATTATTGAATCTCAGGTAAAAACATTTTAATATTCAAATACTTCTACATATGTAAAAATGAAACTAAGACAAGCAAACAAATGCGGGTGAAATGCAGTCATATTCCCGTATCCACGATTTATAAAAAATAAGAGAAGTGAGAAGGTAAATGCGTTTTCATGTTTCGCATAACCGAACGAAAATGATTGCAACTTAGTGAAATATAGCATCGCAAATTTGCCAGAAGTGACTTCACAAAAGTTGGAAGCATAAGTTTCTGCATTCGTGCTTTAGATTAAATGTAGGTAAAATACTGAAACCTCGATCACCCGAACTAATTAAAACCAGGAGATGATTCGAAAAATTGGAAAATTCGGACAGATATGTTTCCACAAAGAGAACCTTATAAAAGCTCATTGTCGGAACATTTGTTTACTTATAATCAATTTCGAATAATTAAAATCTGAGCATCTAATCACACTTTCCTAGTCTTGTTCACAAAAATATTATTAATTGGGTGCATTATGTTCAAGCTAAGACCAATAGTACAAAATCTTAAAATAGAAGTTTGGTTGAATTTGACGTCTGGAAGCTTCCATATACGCAATATTTGCATAATTCTTCTTTGCCATCACATTCATCATCATGACTCACCAATGTTAAATTGACAAGATACTTTCAAGAAACTACAGTTAAAGACATAAACTTTATAAACTACATGGAGTTAGCAATCTTTTTAGTCTAAACTAAAGTTTAATTAAAAGTTAGGTAGCAAATTTAAATTTAATTTTAATAAAGTTTATCGTTGTTTTCTAATTGTCAAACGGCGAGTTTTCACGGAGTCTAATTACAAAAGTGACAAACTAGTAAATGTCAAAATAATATTATCAATAGAAAATGTGAGTTCTGCTTTGGTTTTAACATCTGAAACACAATAAGCAATTTCACTTGGAAGAAGGTTTGCTTTTGAACAAAATTTAAGGAAATAAATTCTTTTAATCGTATCCCATCTACGTTTCGGTTATGTACGAAATCCCTCTCCGCTGTGTTTGGTTAAAATCTATAGCACTCCAGAAATTTTAAAGCATCGTAGAATTTCATATTTAGCTTTCTAACTTTGAATTTCAACCAAGAAACTACAATCGTTTTTCCAAATGCCATTCTTTCGATTATATTAAAAAAATATGTGTTGCATTTCATGAAAATACATCTTTTTAATGTAAATTAGTATTTAAAATATAAATATCAACCATTAATAATTTTTTAAATAAATTTTAAATAAAAATCTAATGCGAGTTAGTGTCCGAATCGATAGTAATTAGATACAGTTAAGATGAACCAAATTCAGGAAAAGTCAGAGCGTTCAGAGCCATGCAATATTAGATCGAGTTAGATCTCCTATAATGATAATGCTCCTAGAATTAATTAACTAGCTTAATCCTGTTTTATGTCTTCTTTATCTTTTCCTGAAGTTAGCGATAATAAAATTTGCTGTTTGGTCTGGAAATTCTTTTAACCAAATTTAGACCAAATTTTTTAATTAATTTTTTTTATATTTCCTTAATTTATGTTAAGCAGGAGCAGTGATATCAAACGGTAAATTAAATGTGGATGTAATGCGAATTGTAATTTTGCAGAAATAAGAAAGGAATGGAATGCTGACTATGTCTTTTACAGTAGCCAACACTTACATTTCTTATGAGCAGATCTCACCTACTCATTAACTGATTTAGCGATAATAACTGAGAGCGCAAAAACGTACGTTAAATTTAGCGTAACTTACAGTGGAAACTGAAATGAGAATCAGATTCAAACCACGCTGCAGTAGAATGTAAATTAACACTTTGCGGATGAGAAAAGAGTTTCTCTTAACTCGCATTTCAAGATTAATGCAATTATAGGGATGGTCGCCGCAAACTGGTTTAAACTTTAAAATGTCGTTTCTTAGCCTACGTGCACAATATAGTTGGTAAAATAATTATACGTTGTAATATAAGTATTATATCATATGTCGTATAAGTATAACAAATAGGATACAATGCTCTAAAAATATAAAACTAATAATTACAAAAATTATGTGCTGCAAGAAAGCGAGAAAACACCTTTAAAGAAAATATATGACATGGACATTAGACTGTAGATAAACACCAGAAGAGCCTCATAATAAGACTATGTTATTATTACTTCAAATAACATAAACTGCGTTCGCTGTCAAATTATACACCACACTTTTTAGAAAAATGTAAACTGGTACTTGCTAGGAGCGGCGTACTTGTTATGAAAATGCTGTAAATAAAGCGCGTAAGAATTATTTTAATTCCTATCCGCTTAGGGCAACCCTCAGGCTTCAGGCATTGTTGACATTGGGTAAACAAGACACTGGTCGCAAGACGTTGCATACATGGGTTACTGGGTCTTCAGTACATTCGGGGGCTTTCCATTCCCTTTGTGTTCTTCGCTCTCATCTAAACTCGGCTGCTTAACCTCTCAGCATACTTCAAGATTTTGTTTATGTAGGGATGAAGTAAAAATTATAAACTGCCTTTGTTCTAATCGAATGCTATTAACGCTGTTTCAAGATTTATCCAACAGATCATACTGCGCTAATCTGTATGCGATAAACATTACACATTAACTCAAAACTTCAATTTCAGCTCGATTGTGTTAAGAGGCACTAAAAAAGATTAATGCGCCAGTTTATTAAAAATTTAAGCGAATAGTTGCGAATGGTTGCAAAGCAGGGTCAAAGTTACGTAAAATGGGTTGAAAAGAATCATAGTGCCATCGACAATAGGATTTGAGACTCATAGTCTGTAACAAAGGGTTGACGAGTCACTGAATGTGGATTAGTAAAAACAAAAAGTAAATAAAAAATACGACAAATACATAAATTTAAAACAGCGCAAAATGTTACA